CAATCACGAGCTGTTTTTGCATACATAATGAGCCCTGTGACCTTTGGCCTTTGACCTTGTGACCCCAAAATCTATTCAGTTCATCTGCTCTGCAAGATACATACATGACCAAAGTTTGGCAGGAATCCATCAATCGGTTCTTCAGATAACGCGATCACGAGCTGTTTTTGCATATATAATGAGCCCTGTGACCTTTGACCTTTGACCTTGTGACCCCAAAATCTAATCAGTTCATTGGCTCTGCAAGATACATACATGACCAAAGTTTGGCAGGAATCCATCAATCGGTTCTTCAGATAACGCGATCACGAGCAGTTTTTGCATACATAATAAGCCCTGTGACCTTAGACCTTTGACCTTATGACCCCTAAAATCTACTCAGTTCATCGGCTCTGCAAGATACATATATGACCAAAGTTTGGCAGGAATCCATCAATCGGTTCTTCAGATAACGCGATCATGAGCTGTTTTTGTATACATAATGAGCCCTGTGACCTTTGACCTTTGACCTTGTGACCCCAAAATCTATTCAGTTCATCTGCTCTGCAAGATACATACATGACCCAAGTTTGGCAGGAATCCATCAATCGGTTCTTCAGATAACGCGATCACGAGCTGTTTTTGCATATATAATGAGCCCTGTGACCTTTGACCTTTGACCTTGTGACCCCAAAATCTAATCAGTTCATTGGCTCTGCAAGATACATACATGACCAAAGTTTGGCAGGAATCCATCAATCGGTTCTTCAGATAACGCGATCACGAGCTGTTTTTGTATACATAAAGAGCCCTGTGACCTTTGACCTTTGACCTTGTGACCCCAAAATCTAATCAGTTCATCGGCTCTGTAAGATACATACATGACCAAAGTTTGGCATGAATCCATCAATCGGTTATTCAGATAACGCGATCACGAGAACGGGACGTACGCACAGACGTACGTACGGACGGACAACCCGAAAACATAATGCCTCCGGCTACTTCGTAACGGAGGCATAAAAATTTAAGGGGAATTCTACTATTGAGAGTATTTGTTACAATCAATGGGTCTTTGTGAAATTCAAATACATATGATCATGGAGTCTCATGGTGAATTTTGGAAATAAACTATTACAACAACAGATTTTATACAGATCAGTGACATTGCATTTCACTTTTAACCTAAAGGTCTTACGTAATGCAGTTACCATGCTAATACTTGAAAACATCTGCCTTTAGAAAGGAAAGTATGAGGTCCTTCGGAAGCAACCTGAAAGCTATTCAATTTCTGTTCAGCTATATTCAGAGTAATTTAGAATGGGATGTCCAAGGACTTTCTCCTCCTGAATGAATGAATCTGAATACCCAGGTGGTGTAAAATTCCAGATGAGAACCTGTGATTACACATCTTTTTAAAGGTTGGTACGCCCTTGTAAAATATAGCTTCTTGTAGGAGTGAAGACCTGTCTGATACCTACCTTTTCTAAATCTGCCTCTGAAATCTGAAGGAGTTGAGGAAATGTGACTTCATGGTCTTTGAAGAGTGGGATGAGGTCACCGAGCTTGAGGCCATAGAGGAACAGTTCCAGATCATCTAGGACATGGTAGGACTGATGGTTAGACAGGGTAGATGCTGGTCTTGGTAGTGGTGGTGGTGGTTGGTGGTTAGTAGTAGGAGGAACGCTGGTGGTGGTGGTGGTGGTGGTGGTGATGGATGTGGCAGGTGTTGGTGTAACTGGTGTTGGAGACTGGATATCACCCCTGTGGAGATGACCAAAATTATTTTATAATCATAGCTACCCTTAACAATTCAAGAAAGAATGGCAACTTTTAATTGGATACAGAGAGGTATTTCATTTCTATTTTCATAGAATAAATGGACTCATCAAACATTTAATGGTAATCTTGAGTTGTGGCAGTGACAAAGCATAAACACCAAAAGAAGAAATCTCTAATTCTATCAAAATGCAAAGATGTGTAATTTGAAAGTAATGAGTGAATCAGAGAACGAAGATGAAGATCTCAGGGTCCCATCTTACAAAGACCCACGATTAATCTGAATTGACTTCAACTCAACGTGAGTTGGGTATCAAACACAACTCCTATAACAACATAGCAAACTTAACTTACAATTGATTGGAGGACTTGAGATCAATTTAATCAATTGCAACTTCATACAGGACCAGACCTGCCAACCTCTGGAGTTCAAAAACTGTATTCTTTAATCCCCAAAATTGTATTTTACTGACAAAAGTTGTATTCTTTAAAAAAACATGGACTGTTACACAAATCAATGCCTCTTACAGTTCGTACATACAGGAAGAATTTTTAGTATGGTTCATTGGTTGAATATGCATGATTTCGTCACGACCGGTGTGTTCGATGAACCAATGAACATCCCCAAATTGCCGATGTGAGGTGCTTGTCGAATACTTTACAGGATCATTTCGCCATTGAAAATGGCACACACACACACAAAAAAAAGATTTTCACCAATCGTTTTTTTCGTTGAAAATCATATTTTATTGAGGAAAATCTAATACGAAATACGACTAAATCATACTGGTTGGCAAGTCTGCAGGACCAGCTCTAGTCTGATAATGAGCATGAACTTGTCAGAGCTTTTTAGTATAAGCAGATATCATCACATCTTCTTGAATACCATTGAATGATTTCAACAACCCTGCAATACACCCAGATTCCTTTTAACTACATGATCAACTATACCAAAATAACATATCTGCCAACCATTCAACAACAAAATTTGGTAATTTCCTATGCCAAAACTGTAGGAATACAGTTAATTATACACACTTTTATACAGATATTTTCAGAAAACATGAGACATGTAGGGTTCATAACACCAGAAATAACTTTCTCTTCCATCATTCAGTTGTGTTACTAGAATTCAAGATTCCTATTACCCAGTGCCTTCATTTACTTTTAAAGGACAAGTCCACTCCAAAAATAAGTTACTTTTAATAGAAGCAGAAAAATCAGACAAACCAATCAAAAAAAGTTTGAGCAAAATCTGAGAACTATGGAACAATGAAAGCACAAGACAAATTGGGAACTCACTCATCAGTCTGTGACGTCATGTCCTCACTATCCACTAATTATTTTCTTTACATTGATAATCTAAATTTCCTATATTCCCCCTAAGAATCCTATTTCTTCACATCAGCATCCAAGTTAAATTGAGAGTAATATGTTTTTGTGTGGATGCAATAATATCGAGTAAATTTTTTCCAGTTAAATTATGAAAAATGTAAATTGTGATAAACTATTTATACAAAAATCAATAATTATGAATACATAATATTAAGAAAATAGTATCAAGTCTTCAAAGTTCATAAAAGATTGTGTGAAATGTCATGCACGCATATGGGTCTGTCCATGAAGTTGGGGCAAAAAGTGTGACATGAGGGTCAATTTTTCAAAATTGCACAACTAATTTTGTTTTATCATTATTAGGTTGCCCATTTCCCATAGTTTTAGAAGAAAGGAAAGAAAAAGTGGTTCAGAGGTTCTGGAAACATCACATGCACATGATCCACTGGAGCATTCAAGTAGAAATACCGCCACTACATGGACACACTTTAAGTTACCATGACACAACAATTGTACATTTATGTGTCATGATTTTATATTTTTGTCTTAGTATTCAGCATTGATTGATGATATGGAGTTAATCTTTGGATTGTTTCACTGTAGGAAAAAAAACAGACATTTCATTTTCAAATAATAACTCAATAATCTATCAGTATATTTGAAGATTTGAATGATTTTATTTTCAATCACATTAAAGTGAATAAAAGTTTGGGTAACTAATTTATTAGTTACATTTTTAATGCATCTCAAACATTAAACATTGCTAGAGCAATGAAAATGCCCTAAGAACACGACATAAACAGTGTATGGGCGGATATTTCCATGCTTTGTATTAAAAAAAATACCTTGTATTTTTTTGTACCGCCACTTCATGGACACCGGGTCCACGTAGTGGCGGTAAATCTACACTTGTTACTCTCTATTTGGAACCTTTAAACTTTTCCCTTCACAAGGTGAGTTTAATTCGTAAAAAGAATATGAATCAACATTGAATACAATATTTTAGTGTACCTAATTGGTATTTGTACCTATTTTATAAGTAATATAAAACAAACAGACAAATTTTAAGAAATGTTTAAGAAATTTTAATTCCTTAGGTTGCAACAGATACACAAGTGTTATGATTAACTGCCTTTTCATGAGTTGTAGAATAATTGATTTGAGATTTACCTCTGTATCTGTTGGAATAAACTTGACTGCCCCAATTGTTTTGTTTAATAGAGTTACTCCCATGTGTAAAGTACCGACGCTACATGGACACCGTGTCATTCTGGCTTGTTTGACAATTTAAAGAAAATTGTTTTAAGTAAGCAAGCATAACCTTTATGAAATTTCAGTTATTGTACAATGCTTAAAGGGATCGTTTAACAATGTTAAATCTGAGATACACGGCCCTACGTGTTATCAGTATCTGTAATATGGTGTAATACTGAAGCCCTAAAAAAAATTGCGCTTCAAAATGATCAAGAAGTGCCTCAAAAAAGTAAAAATCTTTGAGTGACCGGTTTTACCATACTCGTTTTCCCCAATAGACTGTAGTGTTATGAAAACCGTCCGGCGAACGGTTTTCAAAATTTGTAATTCCAATCATAAATATCTTGATAATCAGACAGGCTATCGGCTTGTAAAATTCATGGGGTTCCTGACTGACCTAAAGGTTTATAATTATCATTGCATCATGAGCTAAATCCAGAATTTTATTTCAGAATCTGAGACAAAGTTACCGGATCCCTTTAATGCATATACTCTGTGTCATTTATTTCAGATGATACCATTTATTATTGTTATTCTTTACCTTTTTGTATTAAATTATCTCAATATATGTTTATTTTTATTACTTTTGTAATACAAACAGAATGTGGATTTTAATAAGTGATATTAATAATTTTAATACACTTTACACTGAGCAATAACAGTTTTCAATTGTTTTTTTATTTTTGTAATTACGAGTACCTCCGGTACGCTGGTGAGCAGGTAGTCTTGTTTCAAGCATCCATCACGCCCGCAGCAACTTTACATGCAACATTTCCAAAGTTAATAATGAAATTAAAATCTAAATTCAAATAGAGTACCGAAGTGTGACGTCATCAAAAAAATAGATTTTGCATTTCATCATTATCCCACCAAATTGGGCTGTGGATGTTTTTAATCATGCTCCGCCGAGATATGATATCCAAAACGATGAATTGAAAAAGAAAAAAAAATTGCGACGTCATCACTTCGGTACTCTATAACATGCAACACTTTTTTGAGCTCTACAGGTAAACAAGTCTATCACTTCAGTGGTTAAACTCTGTGTTTCAAAAGACTTTGTCTTTATTTGATGGTTAATTAGGTTCAAAACTTCATACATTGGGTAAGACACATTTCATTAGGACTTATATAAATTCAACAAATACATGTAGATGTCTTTTTAAAGGTTAAACAAGTCTAACACTGTATGACTATTCACTAGAGTGGAATAACAGATTTAAAACTGAGAAATGTGTAATAAGTAAATTCCAATCACATTTAAATTCATTCTAGATTTAAAACTGAGAAATGTGTAATAAGTAAATTCCAATCACATTTAAATTCATTCAAGATAACGTGTATATACTTTTGTTCAACACTTTTTGAAACTCTTCAGGTAAACAAGTTCAACACTTTTAAGCATGCACAAAGCTAGAGGAACTGATGCCTAACCCAGTACCTTCGTATGAAGTTCAATTTGCTTCATCTCTTCACATCAAATGAGATAAATGCATGAAATATAACGTATGTCTCACTTTTTGAAACTCTTCAGGTAAACAAGTTCAACACTTTAACAAAGCTAGAGGAACTGATGCCTAACCCAGTACCTTCGTATGAAGTTCAATTTGCATCAAATATAATGTATGTCTACACTTCTTGGAACTCTTCAGGTAAACAAGTTCAACACTTTTAAGCATACACAAAGCTAGAGGAACTGATGCCTAACCCAGTACCTTCGTATGAAGTTCAATTTGCTTCATCTCTTTACATCAAATGAGATAAATGCATGAAATATAACGTATGTCTACACTTTTTGAAACTCTTCAGGTAAACAAGTTCAACACTTTAACAAAGCTTTAACAAAGCTAGAGGAACTGATGCCTAACCCAGTACCTTCGTATGAAGTTCAATTTGCTTCATCTCTTTACATCAAATGAGATAAATGCATGAAATATAACGTATGTCTACACTTTTTGAAACTCTTCAGGTAAACAAGTTCAACACTTTAACAAAGCTAGAGGAACTGATGCCTAACCCAGTACCTTCGTATGAAGTTCAATTTGCTTCACCTCTTCACATCAAATGAGATAAATGCATGAAATATAACGTATGTCTACACATTTTGAAACTCTTCAGGTAAAGGGAGTATCTCACTGAGAGGCGAATGCTTGCGAACCGTTGCGAATGAGCACAGTGCCATACATAGAGTATAGCCAACTCCGTAAACAGTAGGTATCAACATGGTGCATTTTATTTTGTACTGCTTTGTTAGGCAAGCACATTACAAAAGAATATGCGCCATATTGATACCTACTGAACAAGGGTAGGCTAGACTCTCTCTATATATGGCACTGTGCTAATTCGTAACGGTTCGCAAGCATTCGCCTCTCAGTGAGATGGCAAAACTTTATGCCTCGAAATCTAAAGCCCTGATTTGGATGTCAATACGATTTAGCTCCTCATCTGCCCATCGCCGCAGCCCTCTCGATGACACAGTGGGAGGAGAAATTGGGAGGACTTTGTCGATTCTCAGCCAAGACGAATCCACCTCAGTGGGCCATATGTAGTAGTCAGCACCTGAATCAACAAAAAAAGAAAAAAAAGAAACGAAAAAGAAGTTGATGATAATTATAAAGAAAATTATTAATCAAGCACATAATTTAATACAGTGGAAGCAACCTTGGAAGTCCTTGGGACAAGAGAAATTACCTTTTTATATCAAAACTGTGTTATTGAGCGATAAAATTAAATAGAATACAAAGAGATTAAACCTGGAAAATTCACCTTGTTATAATGAGAAGTTTGATATATCGGGGCTCTTTATAATAAGGTTCCACTGTATTTATCCTGGCAAAAATGAACATGGTTGGAAACAACTGATGATCTGGTTTTACCTGGTGGTCGGTGCAAAAAACGGACGTCCCCTTCATCTCCGTCAACTTGTGTGATAAGCCCTGCATACCACTTCTGTCTGCCTGCCTTCACTGCGACAAAGCTGCCAACTTTGATGTCCATTCTCGTTTCCGTGTCCTTTCTTGCTTCCTGCTCCATTCTTGCTTCCTGCTCCATTCTTCCTTCAGTGTCCTTTCTTGCTTCCTGCTCCCGTTTCCCTTCAGGATCATTTCTTGATTCTGGGTTGGGTTGGGTTTAAAAACAGAGACAGAAATTTATAAAAAATAAGAGAAATTATCATTGGTTTACAAGAATACAATGGCCAGTAGTTATTGCAATGAAGATGATTTTCAGCTTTAATATGATCACAATGTGAAATTTGGACAAAATACATAATGTAACCTAATTATACAAAAGGTTCTGGGGACCAAGGAATTGCCTTATGTTGAAACCTTGTTATATCATGTGTTAAAATATATATACTACAAAAAACTTGAACTTGTTTTGACAAGTTTGTTATAACCTTTTTATTTTATAGGATACAATCTTTGAAATGGAATTATGACCTTTTAAAGAAAATATCCTTGATTTAATAACTATACCTTTGACATCTGCTTTTGCTCTAGAGGTGGGCTTCATACCATCTACAGTGTCCTTTCTTGCTTCCTGCTCCATTCTTCCTTCAGTGTTCTTTCTTGCTTCCTGCTTCTTTCTTCCTTCAGTATCCTTTCGTGCTTCCTGCTTCTTTCTTCTGTCAGTGTCCTTTCTTGCTTTCTGCTCCTTTTTCCCTTCAGGATCATTTCTTGATTCTGGGTTGGGTTGGGTTAAAAAACAGAGACAGAAATTTATAAAAATAAGAGAAATTGTCATTGGTTGACAGGAATACAATGGCCAGTAGTTATTGCAATGAAGATGATTTTCAGCTTTAATATGATCATGATGTGAAATTTGGACAAATACATAAAGAAACCTCATTATACAAAAGGTTCTGGGGACCAAGGAATTGCCTTATGTTGAAACCTTGTTGTATCATGTTTTAAAAATATATATATATATATATATATATACAAGTACTACAAAGAACTTGAACTTGTTTTGACAAGTTTGTTATAACCCTTTTATTTTATAGGATACAATCTTTGAAATGGAATTATGACCTTTTAAAGAAAATATCCTTGATTTAATAACTATACCTTTGGCATCTGCTTTTGCTCTAGAGGTGGGCTTCATCCCATCTACAGGTCCAGTTGCAATCCTTCTGACAACATACTGCTGCACGTAATCTTTGTTGGAGCATGCCTGCTTGCCCTCTTCGCATCCATTGCAGAAACATGAGAGTTCTCTGACTTTGATGACATTAGGCCGAACAGATAAGATGCTGTGAAGACGTCGTGTTCCCTGAATTGTTTTCAGTGCTTGTCGTTTCCTGTCTCGATCTATCTTCTCAATCCAGAATGCTTTCCTACAGAAATGGGTGCATTTACTGCCATCATCCTCTTGTTCCTTAGGTAGGGTTGCCGTGCGTTCGATGAAGTTGAAGAAATCTTTGGCATTAGCGATGATCTCTGTGCCAGACATGACTGCATCCGTAGCTAATCGCTTCACCACGCCACTCTCTCCATCACTGGGTCCTTTGCCATGCCTGCTGCCAAAGTATTCATGTTGAAACCCAAGTTGGTGGTCCTCCTTTCCATAAGAAATGTCAAGGAATGGTCCACGGGACTTGTATTGGCAAGCTGCCCCATCCGAGAACCGAATGATCCTGTTGATGTTCGGAACCTTCTTCTTGATATGTTCCACAGCAAAGGAAGTGAACTGCTGTACTGCATTGAAGTCATGAACATTGTCCTTCGTAATCATGATCATTGACTCTGTTACAGTTTCTGTGCAATCAGGGCATTTATAATACCCAACAATGGGGTGTATTGTTGCAGAATCGTGTCCCCAGTGCACAGCCTGCACTTCATCCTGAAATCTGCACGAATAGTTTTCCGCAAAGTCTAATACCATTACCACACTTCTGCTTGGTGGAGACTTTGACACCCGCAAGAATTCCCGACTCTGCCAAGATGCCGTGAATAGGTGCTCTGAGAGTGCTGCTGCTTCGATCTTCAACTCTTGCAACATCTCCTCCAATGGGCCTTCTTTTCTCCCTAGTACCATTCTTGATGTCTTCTTCCCATTTTCTTCCTTGGTCTCTCTTGCCCATTTTTTCCATTCCACATTTCCCTTATGCTTCAGCACATCCAGATCCAACACTGCATCAAGCTTTGATGTGCCACAATTCCCACACTGTCTCTGGATGCAGGGTAGCTTGTGGAATGGCTGGTTGTCTGCCCTCTCGCATAGGGTTGCAGCATTAAAGTTGTAAATGTCCTTGAAGATGGAATGATTTGCCAGTTTGTTGATGGCTGCCATTTTTAGTTCCACATTTTGACAGTATTCACACAGACAACCTCTGTAAGTGATCAAATGTCGGTGCTTGACATGGGTGGGCTTCAGGGCTGCAAACGTAGACAGCCCAACTTTCATTGCAGGGTTTTCCTTCTGGAACTTTGCAAACAAACCCCTCACTGTCATCGTCAGGAAGGCGCATGCTTTTTTAGATCTTTTGCTTACAAATTTCTTGTCCGGGAGGGTTGTAGCATTCTCTTGGTAGAATCTCTGGACAGTGTCCCTCGTTTCTGCTGGTATTTGGGAAGGGCGACTATGTGGTTTACATGTTGATTTTGGTCGTAGACATTTGGATGTAATCCCCAGATTCTTGCACAAGACCGTCTGGCATTTGTATTTTCTGCAAATGCGCTTGGACGGTATCATATGACGTTTTACCATCAAGTCTGTTTTCTTCCTGCTCTTCCGCATATTGCGTATCTTCTCTGCCACGGATTCATGAATAGCCTGTGCAGTCACATCTGTCCTAATGCCCTTTTCCTGAAGCAGATGTTTCTTCCTCGGGGATGCTTTATGCACAAGATCTTCAACTGTATCTGTATATATCTCTGGATCTGTAGATAGGGCAGACCTTGCACGGATGAGACTTTGCCGCCTTGCATCTCCTGATCTTATATTCAGTCGTCTCTTCTCCTTCTCCATCTGCTCTTGGGCTTCTCTTAGACGTTTCTCCTCTTCTTCATGTCGTTTCTTCTCTGCCCTCGCTTCAATTATCTCTTTCTTATGTTGTTGAATTAGCTTTTCTTGTCCAATGAGCAATTCCTTTTCTTCACGTCGCTTCCTACGACGTCTGTCCAAGATTTCTTGCCTTTTCTCATTGGAGAGACGATTTCTGTACTCCCTTTTCTTTGCTGCGTTTATTTCTTTTCGCTTCGCCTCCTTATCTGACTGAGCTCTTGTCATTTTCACTGGTTGTTTACCTTTTTCTGCCTTCTTCTTGGCTTCTTCCTCTTTCAGTTTTCTCTTGGATCTATATTCTCTTTGCTGTTTTGCTCTATGAGCCAGGTTACCTTTCTTCTCTACCTCATTTCCAGGTTGATCAAGGTATTCACGTTTTTCTGCCCGGTTCTTTCTTTTCACAAGAGCTTCATACTTCAGGTAAGCTTGATACTTCATTGGATTTTGGACTCTTAAATGTGTACGCCAATGAATTTTCTTGCTGTGTTCATGGTTGTTTTCATCACCGTTTTCATTACGGTCTTCACTACCCTCTGCTGGACAAAATGCCCTCAATTTCAGATGAAAGGGTGGCCTTGGCTTAGATGTTGATTTAGCTTTAGAAGGCATGTTTGTTGGTTTCTGTAATCAAAATAAAAATTCAAAATAAAAGGATTTTTATCTAGTATGCTATTTTTCTTGGCTATAATGTTCACCGAATGGACACTACATGCAATGCAGACTTTTACGAGAAAAGGGTAAATGAATACAAATAAATGAATCATCTACAAAGAAAGAAAAAGAAAAAAATAAAATCTAAAATCCAAACTAGTATGACTAAGACGTCCAAACTATGACTAAGACTAAGACTAAGACGTCTAAACAACAACAATACACCATGAAAGATTATTATAGAGTCTAGTATAATATTAATATTATTAATATTATTAAGTTCGAAAAATGAAACATGCTTTTTGAGCTGCTTTTTGGGTCTGATTCCGCTGGTTTTACAGGTTGTCAAGTGAAACATAACACGTATCGCTATATGTGGGACTATTGTTAAAATATTTGAGATTTTGGGCGAATATTCTGGAGAAACATCGCTAAAAAAGCAATATGGAGGCATCTGAATATGAGGAGAAACTATCAATGGACGGAATTTTACCGTTGGAATAATTGCTGGAAGAATTGTTTGAGGAATTTTAAGACGGTTTTGTTCCGAAGAAGGCACACATTTATTTACTATACCGTTACTACATCGGACACAAGTGTTCCTCACCGAAGAGTAGCATCGGGGCTAAAAAATGCCAGTATCTTTTCCTAAATACTTTAAAGTCTCTTTTACCGTAGTAATCCTTTGTTTTATAGGTTTAATACAAGGATGGATTGTGAAACTCTTCGATTTTCATGCATTTACTGCTCACATTACGGAAAACTAACAAATACCGCCGATTTCAACCAGCAGACACCACTCTTGCGTGGTGTCCAAACGAGGGTACGGACAGTAAGAAAGGATGAAAAGTCGAGCTACTTCATAAAAAATACAAGAATTTTTACAACAGTCGATAGAGTGGAGTACATCAAAGAAAAAAATAAACCTTACCGTTTACAGCAGTTTTAGAGTGGCTTCCCTAAGTCATCGATTTGCTCACCGATGCTTCAAACCTTTCCGACTCTACCGGTGACTCGCAGAAGGACGCCATATTGTCAAAGTGAAAATTTCAGCTTCGCACCATGGAAACGGAGCCGAATGAGCTATTTATATCAACCACCATGACTCATCGAGATCTTGCCGGACTGATCGATTCTGATGAGGGGGGATATTTTTAATGACACTGGTTTCAATTTACCGATCCTTCTTTTTACCGCATGGACACCACGTCGGTGACTCGTATTTCGGAATGATGATACTTAAAAATGCTTGATAGTATCCTGATTTCATTTATCAAATATTACTGGCAAGAAAAATACCTCATTATGGACAATAAGATTTACAATTTCAACTATCCCATATAAGGAACATTGGCTCAAAGTACCGACACGACGTATAAATTATTAGTGGACACCGCCGTAGTGGCGGTATCGATGACTTTGGGAAGTCTGCTATTAAAAAATGTTTGGCGAATTCAATCTTTCTCGACTTTGATTATATAGATGAAGTTAGAATATGTATTTGCTGATTGTTACCGGAGGTAAGGAATTTGTAATTACTTTGAAATAAACAGTCAAAATATTTTTATTTTCATGTCACAAATTTTCATTAGAAAATGGGGTTGGACACTAACATATTATGTTCATTTTTTCATAAAAGGAGCAGCGTGTATGTTTGAAAATTTACACACAGGAAGATTATCATTATGTGTATCAAACAAAACATCCATCATTGCAAAGTGTTTGCTTAACAAGGAGTTATACTTGGTTTTATGACCGTCGGTGGTGAATTTCCTTAAAAACCCCAACTTCGTGGACAGACCCATATATCAATATGATACAAATCATATAACCTGGGCAAAGGTATGGGGGAATCAAGTTTTGGGGGATAAAAAGGGAAATTAATGGGATTCAACTATGTAAAGCAATTGATAAATAGTGAGGACATGACG